AATATCATACATTATGCGCCGCCTTGTGCGCCCTTCCGTCCGTCAGTCATTCCGCCCGTCACACTTTTTTCCGGAGAATAACTTGAAACGTGTTAAAGGAAAGAAATTTATTAAAAACTAGACACCATTGAAAGGCAGTGCAGTGTCAAAGAACAACAACTCCACTTCTATCGATAGTAAAATGTTAGATAATGTTTGTCGGTATATGTTCTAAACTATCAATGACATCTCATGAAAACTTCAAACACTTGTAGAGACTAATAAGAGGAAGTGCCGTGTCAAAGAATTATAAATCTGCATTGCTTGTTTTTTTTTAATTGTCTCATTTTATGATACCAAAAAAAACAGGAATTTAATGCTTGCCCGGAGTATAACTTCTAAACATTTAATGATATCTCGTTGAAACACCATACAGCTAGTTAGCTACAGAGTCTAAGTTTCAAAGAAGCATAACTTGACATTATTTGGTTCATGAATTTTCTACCTTTATGATTTTAGGGCAACGTTGACAAATGTCAGCCCTACTTATAGCAAAGTATAGCAAATTAAAAAAAAAATGTCAGCCCAATTCTCTTTCCAGAAGGAATATATCATTCTCCTTATTTCTGAAAAAAATCACTTTCAACAGTCCAAAGTTAATTGGTGGTATGCTGTATCTGTCAGTACAAAACACTAATACAATAGCAGATTTAATATTATAAAGCTAACGTTTCTCTTTTTTTTCAAAGACTCGGAAAAATCTGACCAGTTCAATCTGTTCTGTAAAGAAAGTATTTTAAGGTGAAGAGTGGGACTCCTTATTAATCTATTGCTAAATACATGTATATGTATGAAATAGGTACAGCTCAAAATAACTGTTTTGTCAATAATGTTAGTTTTGGTAAACATCTTATATTAAGGTGTCATTCATACATGTATTTTAATACTCACTTTTTTTAAAAAAAATATAGTTATTATAATACTGACACCATTATTAACTGACCCAGTGAACTTTGAGACGACAATGCAGATTCTTCACAGTAGCATTTACATCATTAAAATATTGTTGTTATTGTTTTATTCTACAAAAGTATTTTACAAAGTCTGTTTTCGATATTGTTCCATGATACACATATTGCTACTGTATGAGTTTCGCTATGGCAGTGGGTTATATTGACTACATTGGTGATAGATATCTGGAAATAGTGATCCATCGGAAGCATTAACATCAGCAAAATAACGTGAAACCCTTACTTGATCAAACTATAATCACTACAATTAATTATATTATCGTTTATTTTGTAAATTAAACCTGTTTCGTACCATTCCATCAATTTAAAACAATAAAACACTTTTTATTACATGCACAATTCAAAGTTACCAATGAAAGCTGCATTTTTCCATAGCACACAGATTCACAGAATTTACATAATTATTACAGTTATCCTTCCTCTTTTCGGGATACAAAGTTTTACATAAAAAATAATACTGTTTTGTCATTGGTATAGATAATTCTTATCAAATCTTAATGTATGTTAGGGAATGTGTGGTGTACATGGTAACACTACAGTATATATCCACATTAGTTTCTACTATACAAACTTGTAATCTCTAAGTATGGGTAAGAGTTCGTATTAAGACGACCGTAGGGAGTCTTATCGGACTCTTACCTATATAACTGCAAATCGGCTCTTACAACTCGATATCAGATAAAAATATAGAAAATGTCACCTCTTTAATTAAGCATAACATTATTTTTCCCCAGCAGTCACGTACAAACAAGGATGGGATCCAATTACTTAATCTGGCATGTAAAACAATGAGTTTTCAACAATACCTAGTATTTTTGATGCAATTCATTCCTGTCATATGAAACAAAATAATAATGTTTTGCTTAGTTTTTCTTGAAAATATAAAACAGTCAGCAATTAATAATTGACATTTTTCATAGAGTTTAAAGGATATCAAAAAGTTACTGTGTTCACATTTGTCTCTGCGAGCTGAGCTCCACGTGCATTATCTATGTAATAAATTTGAATGTATCCTCACATTGCTACAGTGTTATCAGCCTTTTAAGAAACACCTGACCTGGCTAATTAAAATATGCCAATCACAATTTTCAATATCAGCACTGGTTTCTTCATCAAATAGCGGCTACACTAATTACTGCCGAGTAAGAGCCGATTTGCAGTTATTAGTGTATATTGGTGTAATACAATCTCAGGGTTTTTATGATTAATGAGCCGTGTCATGACAAAACCAACATAATGGGTTTACGACCAGCATGGATCCAGACCAGCCTGCGCATCCGCGCAGTCTGATCAGGATCCATGCTGTTCGCTATCAGTTTCTCTACTTGTAATAGAGTCGGTAAGCGAACAGCATGGATCCTGATCAGACTGCGCGGATGCGCAGGCTGGTCTGGATCCATGCTGGTCGCAAACCCATGATGTTGGTTTTGTCATGACACGGCTCATTTATGTTTGATCATTATCACGCACAACGTTTTGCAGACTTTCTGAAAACATCTGACTGATAGTTTTGTTGAGATAAAGAAAAACTGTTGCCTAATGATCTTGTTATAAATGTGTTAGTTCAACAATTATTTGTTCGATTACTTATTCAAAACTTAGACCAAAAACATTTTTGACCAAACCAAGATGATAAATAATAACTCACATATGATGTTACACCTGTATCAAGGTTGCCATTGTAAATATATTTACCTTTTTTTGTTTGTATTGCCTTCGTTAAATGATTCTTTTAATTGATTATTCACATAGACTGTTGGTACCTTTACAGAATATATGTGGGGCGGTTTAGTTGTCTGTCATCTTTATCGTTTGCCCTGTATGTCAACTCTATCATCCATTCCATCTAATTATTCACATTCCTCAGCCCCAATGCCCTCATACTGGTTTGCTAAAACTTTTGTTTTACCACTAGAAAACACCCTAAGATGTCATTAAGTGGATTCTGATATTGCTTGCAATTTTTTTCAAATTCCTTGTTTGTTTTTACTTGCATATTTGTTTCACTCAAAATTGAAACATAACGAGAAAAATCTGCTAACAACATTACGTTTTCCATTATTTCTTACAATACTTCCAAACACCTTACTACTTTTCATTCCATATGATAGAAACTATTTTTATGTTAGTTACCCATAGTACAGGTTCGAGATAGTGGTTCATCCTATATTCCGTACTCACGTTTTGAATTGGCAAATATGGTTGGAGACAATGACACTGAGATTCTTGATAATGTCCTAGTAGCAGTACTCAATATGTTTAAATCAATGTCTGACCACAGCATAAACCCTTACATAGGCAGAAATCCAGGTCGATGTGAATTTGTGTGCATTAGAGTCATCATCAGCTGTCATAAAACAATACTTGTCAGATTGTATATTTTCAATTAATATATACATCCATTATCCATTATGTGAACACTGGATGAACTCTTGTTAGAATCTACAAACTTATTCATTTCATGTGTATGGCTCATTAATGTTGGATGATCTTACCACACCTTAAATTTGTATATAGAGAAAGAAAAACAGCTAAGGTTGTATATAGTCAAGTTGCACAACAATGATATGACTCCATACAGCGTATGGAGTCATGCCAGTTATAATTTCCCTTATAATTTATCCTGTTTCTTTTATAAAGATCCAGATTTTATTGACTATGATATAGGTCTTAAGTTAGAGACAACTTAGAACAAATGGTAATTAAATAAAGTGCACAAAACATAAAAGTGCACGTTAAAATAACGCCAGTATGTAACATTTTTAGCTTTGCCATGATGACCGACCTTCAATAATATTAGATTTATTTAGATTATTCCACCTTTCGGTTTAACTTTTTAATGTTCTGTTAAAAGATATTAACTGTTATGATTACGTTAGTGACCTCAATTTATCTGAGATATTTTTCTCTTTGATTTTTTTCCTCGTGGAATCAATGCCTAGCCTGGAAAGAATTACGAAGTCGATTATATGCGTAGTTTTTGATGTGTCCATGTTGTATATCATGACATGTTCTTTGGTATGTCCAGTCGTGTATCTGGTCGTCTGTGACAACCCGTCCGCTATGGAGCTAAACCATTTTGTCACCTCTATACTAAAGGTTTGAATAAACAGGTTAAAATGCCGAAGTACATGCATTTACTGAAAAATATAATCAATATTTACCCTGTCGACTAATTAATTAAAGTTATTGTCTTTAATGCTTTAAAATTTCTAATGCAACATTTACCAATATACACATATTTATCGTATAAGTTTGCCATTTTAGAAGGTAAGTATTCATGTATCCGTGTTTGTTTATAATTAGTCATCTATTCAATAATAGGAGGGGATTTATTTTTAACTCATTCACTACCCGTATTCAAGCGACGCGCAATTTAGATATTGCGATTATCACCTGTGTCTGTTTCTAACGCAATAGCTTTCCATCACGCGTGAATTTCATGATCAGGGAATTTCCGAATTTCTTATATTTTACTTTCTTTTTCACCTTTATTATGAACTTCCTTCCGTATTTTATATTTACAACATTACAGATATGAACTCAATTTATTTTCGACTATTAATGAGTATTTGATGGATTAAGTATTGCATGTAGTTTGTTGTTAGAAATAGATTAAGTGTTTAATTATACAAGGAATTCTTATTAGAGTATGTTGAGTAAATAAAGACATATTCTATTTTTATAATATATACGAAAATGTATGTAGACACATTTTGTAGCTGAATGATTTATGAAAGTAAAATAAAACACTATGGATTTTAATCCTAGCAGCTCAAATGATCTCTGCTTCGTAAACGTTCATGAACGTTTAGATTGTTATAATGGATTTTCTGCCCCTTTACCAATCTCTCCCTCGAGGGATAAATCGCTGACCTTCAGAAAATTAATCATCAAGCTGCAAAAAGAAATATGTGCCGAAGATTTTCGAAAGGTGAAGTTTCTATTTGGAGGTAAGTTATGGTGACTAAAGTTAATTATTTGGATGGCAACGTTACAAAGGTAATATCAATGAAGGCTTGAAGCTTCACGGCTTGTTACATTACATGAAGTTGACTCCGTGTTTGGATTCGAACCAGTAACAAGATCAAATATACTAATTGTAATATATAATGATAAAGTACCATTTAAGCGCTTGGAAATTTCTAAATATCTAAATAGTCATAAGGGATACTCTTATCATGCTAGGTATTTCTCCGGAACAAATGTGAAAACAACAACAACAAAACAGTTTATTGTCTTTTCTGATCGCAAGATCAGTAAATACATAGCTAACATCCACGGTCTAACACAAAATTTCCTAACAGACCTAACAACGCAAAGTAGTTCTCACTCAAAACTGCTTAAAAACCAGCAATTTAAAAGACAGAATAATTTTTAATGTAGGCATTTAACGAATTACAGTGCATTGAAAGTTCAGATTAGTCAATAGAAATATGAGGTTACAATCACAAATTTCGCGGATGAATATCATTTTAATCAATGAAAATGCTATTTTTAGCTATGTCGATTACTGAATACTCCAGGGCGCAGTACACAAATAAATCTGACTGCCGAGTAGTGGAATATATACATGTCGGACTGTTTTGGCGAGAAGATTTTCGCTTAATTATTTTTACCAGTGTTAAACAGGTTCATCGTGAACAAAATACCTCGAAATTGATAAGGATTACAAACACGAAATGGAAATTCTCAATTTAGAATTACAATGTATTTGTTTTTATTCAGGCTACATATTACGTATTACTTCACCGTGGTGCAGGGGTATCGCGCTCGTATCGCGCTCGTTTAGGGTGTGAGAGGCCTAAGGTTCAAATCCTAGTCGAGGTAACTTTTTTTTGAAGTGTCTTTTTTAAGGAAGTAGCCACAATATGCAAGGATAAAGTGTGGCTGTCATAAAAAATGATTTTTGATGCAACTCTAGTCATGCAAAATTCCATATGTATCAATCTCAAACTGTTATAGAAAAAAATCTTAACGCAGTCGCTGCGTAAGATGAATTATACTATATAAAATAAACTTATATAGGAAAATACATACAGATAGTCAGTATGATTTAGATCAGAAAATACCACAGAGCTTGCAGCCCTTTGATATATTATATTACGGGCACTCGTTGTTTGTTTTTCCATACAATTTCAAACTTTTTCAGGAGAAATAAAGAAAGGACGAATGGAAAAGATTTTGAATCTAATGGACCTTGTAACTGTCCTGAAAGAAAGATGTTTACTTGACGAGGATTCTATGACTAATCTTGTAGATACATTTGAGATCATAGAAAGGGACGATCTGGTGCAATTAGTAAGAGATTATGAAGCTGGCTGCAGCAGCTTGACGTCAACAATAATAGGTTAGTACAATAAAATTTATAATTTAATAGGCAACATAGAAAATTAAGAGAGCTTGTCATATTTCAAAGTAAAATTTATTCAAAATGATGATTTAATTTTTTACAATGGTTTTCAATTGATATTGTAGATTCTATTGAGCAAAACGAATCAACTCCAGCCGAGTGCCCAAGAGTCGACACACAGCAACATGTTTTTATAACCAACGAACAGGGAAAAGTCGAAGATACCTCAGAGCAACATTTTCTGCAAGAAGAAAACAACACATTTCCGTCGACGACATTGAAGTCAGGTACACGTTGCATTGCTTACTAAATGGCGAATCTAACTAAATAATGCATTTTTGATAACATTTTATATTATTGATTGATATCATGGATATCATCAATTATATATTTCCTAAGATTAAGAAACAATTTCATTTTAAATATACTTTTAATGATAATTTTAGGCATTGTTTGTTCAAAAATGTTTATTTGATTTTAGATGATGAGACACCTGCCATACTGACAATGGATCAAGGGACACAAACAGACGTGGCATTTGAGTGCGACCACCTTTCACCTGATCTTCAGAATGAGGATCTTTTACAATTGTTGTGCAATGAATCACTGCTGCTTTCTGGCGGATTTGAATTATTTGATCTTAGAAACAAACTTTCTAAGCTACATATGCTCCGTAATGAACAGGGCCTAAAGTTTTTGCGGTCTAAACTATTGCGTTTGTACCCGCAGTTGTTGTATTCAGATATATATAATAATTGTTAAATAAAAGAGTCTATCTTGGAGTAAAAAGATATATACATCTTCTTTAATTCGCAAACAAAATGATTTAATGTTAATAAAACGTTAAAAGTTGGGATCCCACTACAATATCAATGGTCTAAATATAGAATGAAGAGTTCATGTGTATTACGTGCACAACTGAACACGCGCGTTATACATGATGCATTCGTGCCTTGTCACGTGCGAGTATGACTTAAGCTTTATTTAGGTTTTTACAATTCATATGCAGATAATGAACTGTTTTGAAATAAGTAATTTTAAATACTGTTTGTACATAAATATAGAATACGATGATATCGAGTAGCTTTATTGATATTGCTAACTGTAAAGAAGCTCCACTATGGTAAAAAAACAACTAAAAGCATAAGGTTTAATTACTTACATAGCTCAAATGATTTACATAAAAAGGTAAAGGAAAAACTGGATGAGGGAATGATCTGTAAATGTGCACACAAGTTATTGTTTTAGACCTACATCAAATGGGATACAAATCTCGGAATAAATATTTCAAGTACGGTCATTTAAAAAAAACCCTTAGATTTTTGACACAAAGCTAATTCAATTTTATTATTTAATATTCGGGTATAAACATTAAGATTAACATGGGCATTTCAAAGCATGTACATAAAACTTAATTTATGTATCTTCATACTTAAAACATACCTTATAACATAATTGTTATCATTATCATTGTTGCATATAAGACCTTTTCATCACCATCGTTATCATCTGCAGCAGCAGCACCACCACCACCACAACCTTCATCATTATCATTTTTATAATATCATCATCATTTTATCATATCATCATCATTTTTATCATAGCATCATCATCTTCATCATTTAACTTCATTTGTACTAGGGTAGAAATTGAAACTATGTTATAGATGTAATATATTGTTGGAAATTTTTTACAGCATTTTTGGCCATCATAAATGACGGGTACAATTATGATACAATGTATTAGCATTGCATCATTGACTTAGTTATCATAAGTCAATTAAATAAAAAATGACAGTTTTCATCATTATAACAGTTGAATTACTAATAATTGATAAAATGTTGGAAAGAAAATAAACAAAATAGATTTTTAACCAAAACATATAAGCGACCAAAGAAAGAAAGGAAAAAGGTTTAATAAAATTAGAAAAGCTTTTTTTTCTTAATATTTTTTTATCTCTTACAGAGAACTAAGTTCTACGGGTATAAACTGTATTATAGACATGTAGGACAATGCTTAGTTCACCTTTATTTAGTTTAGTCTGTTCTATCGGTATTACTCATGTTTGTTTTACTCTATTCTTTAATTTGTATATGCATCATCATTATAGTGTATTTAGTTTAATGAGTTGCTTGAAACATACTTTTATGTTAACAAATAAATTAAGAAAAAAGAATGGTATTTTTTTCTTTCATTTATAAAAGTAAATGTACTTTTTAACTTTTGAACATGTTTTCTGCGGTAGAAAAAAATATATTTTGCTTGCCTTTCTGACTGTCTTACCAAGATAGAAGTATTTTGATGTTGGGTCTTTGTAGACTTAAAGAATACTTATGAAGTCAGGTACGTAGACCACTATGTGCAACCGGTCAAATAGATAAGCACAGCCCATGTTCTCTGTGAACAAAATATTGCAACAAAATTGCACTTATTCAAACTCTGATTTTATAATAAATAAGGTTTACAGCTGGAAGAATATACGTTGACTTGGCTAAGCACACTGGATAATAAAAGTAAGGATGTATTTTAAGATGTTATCTACATAGTTTGAGCAATATTGACACAAAACATGAAAAACAAGATCAACAAGAAAGGGCGGTGTTCAATAAACGCAACCCCCTACACGACCCAGCAACACAGGATTACCGACAAGAACCCAGCAGGACACCAAACAAAAACAGGACAGGGTACAGCCAATATTCAGACAAAATAAGGCAACGAAAATCTAATTACTCTAATTGACACAACTTGATTTCTTCATAGGATAAAGCAACAAAATATACACTTCGTCATAATTCATATTTGGTTTATAAAAAACAACTTCCAAAAAAACCGCCAAAAACAAATTGTTTATTCTCAAAACGAGTTTTGTCAAAACGTGAAGGCAAATGATAATGTAATTTCCTGAGATAGTGGATAAAACGAATTGTTTTCATTTCTTTTTTTAACTTGATCAATACAACAATAATCATTTCAAACTAAAGCAATAACAGTTTATGACCTTATTGATTTTCTAACATTATTAGTTCAAAACTTCAACAATGTATGTCAGGTATGACGATGAAAATGGGATTCCATTTTATTTTCAAAACTTCGTAAATACATATACGTGTTTCTATTTATATGTTAATGAGAAATTACAGGGTATTTTTTTGTTTCGATTTCAATTAAAGCTTTCTGGAAGTACACATATCTGGATGTAGACGTTGTCGCCATTGTTACGTGTAATATTGAAGAAAAAATATGAAGAACCAGTGCTAATCGCAAACTTAGACAAGATGGAGAAGATGCCAAAACCAGCAGAATGGCACTTCAGTCAGCTTTTGTTTAATATTGCAAAGAATATAACTGAGGGAGAACTTTCAAGGTTGAAAAGGATGTTCATAGGTGAGCAAAATAAAATATTTATTGAAGGTTTATTATTGATAAATCCAGATTATGGTATACTTCCGAATTTATGTTTTTTGACGATCGTAATTATCGTTCAATCATTTAATTGTGATTTAAATCTTTCATAAAACTGAACGATTATTGGCTATTTATTATAATCAATGAAGCAGAATTATGGAAAACAAAAACCTCTCTCTTCCAGTAATGCATGGTTTGAAACCATTATATTTAGTTTAGTTTGATGTTCCATTGAATCGTGGATCTCATCTTTTATTAAAATTGTGAGTTATGAATACACAGGAAACGGAATTTTGCAAGAAACTGAAGTTCAAGAAATCACTTCCGCATTTGAGCTATTTTCCTGCCTCCGCAATATACAATATTTGAGCAGTAAAAATATGGCGTGTCTACAGCAGATGCTAGAGCTGATAAAGAGAAAAGACCTAATCAAGAAAGCCATTGGATACTGTCAAAATGAGAAAGAAGAGGAAATGATGAGATTATGCAAGGCATTTGACGAAGACTTAGGTAAATAGTTTTATGTAATACTCTTGTGAATCAAACTGACTTTAAAAGCCCTTGAAGTTAAAAATCAGAATTATATACAGTTAATTCACTGTTTGTATAAGATATGATTACTTAAGGATTTTAATGTAAATGACAGTCATATATTGTAAATGATTTTACTTTCTTTTCAGAACCTGGTCACAGCTACGTAAGGTTCCATTTCGACCATCAGGAACCGGTTGATTTCAATTTTAATTTCATAAACTATTTCAAAATAAGAATGTCTGCCTTGTTGTTTATGCCAATTGAAAGTGTGATAGTTGTTGGGATTGAGGCAAATTATACGACCTGTGGTCCACGTGAGAAGCCTTGTCCCGGTGCTATTATTACTTTGATGATGCCTGTTTTGTACATTGATATATTACACGAAACAATCGAAGACAAAGACAAATTGTCAGCCGTTACATTGTTCGGGATTACCAGCGTTGAGTTGGAAAACAAGATATACAAGTTCACTGAAGGTTGGTAATTAATATTGACTGTAACTCGTTGAAGGAAAGTATAGATGCGATATTGTTATATGATCAATTTAATGTTTCTATAGTTTGATTAATTATAGAAAAACAAAAAACGTGATTTTTTATAAATATAACAATAAAAAGTAATTCATTTAGTCTACATTTATTTTTTTCATTTACGTTTAAAAACTCCTGTGTACGAAATTGATTCAGGGAAAAATATTCATGCCCCCACACATTCTTTCCTTGTTTGTTTTCACAGACGACAGCGTAAAGCAAGAGTGTAATCCAATGAAAGTTCATAGAGACCTAATTCATACGCAACTACTTGAGAGGGAAAAGAAACCTGAAGTGTGGTCAAAACAATTAGCAAGTAAAGACAACTTTTCGAATACGGGACATTTAGATAATAACTACAACGAGAAGCTATCAAGAGTTAACCAAAAGTCTGGTATGTCTATAACGTTATGGAAAATGTTTGGATCAATTACTGAGAAAACGACTTTGCCACATATTAGTCATGATGAGCTGCAGAGACAATGTATGCATGCAAAAGTTATACGGATTTATCCCCAATTGACGTATAGAAACGAGAAAGGGGCGATTGATTCATCATCAGAAAGTTCTGATCAAGAGGAGGCGAAGTTTAAATTCACAAAAAAATGAAGTTTTGAAAATTTTAGCCATTAGAAGTACGGGAAATAACAATGAATGGAATAATTGTGGTTTTATCATTAATTTTAATGTCATTTTTTATGCCGCCAAACATACATACAATCAGAAATTATGTTTTTTCGATATACATGTATGAAGATTGTTAAGCACGACTTTATTGTTCTTACTTGTTATTTCGCATGTTATTATTTTACAGGCGGTTCAACTATTCCTATATGTGTATTGTTAGATCGCCTTAAAGATATGTTACCTGCTTTGTTATTTGACATATATATACATGTATGTGATACGTAGGTTTTATAATGTCTGGCTTCCTTCAAAATCTCATTATATTTACTTTCTATCCATTCTTTTTCTCGCTTAGGGCACACGATTTTTGTTTACTTGGGACAATATGCCACTTTCCATGGAATAACAAAAAAGTGTCACAATCACCACTGTATGAGCATATCACATCTGCTAAAGTTTTAAATTTAACAGTTTACCACTACCTTTTGTATGCATGTATGATATCATTATGACTGTATCAATACGTAAAAAGATTTTATAAAACGATTAAATTTAAAAACAGTAATAATTGTTACATTTACATTTACGTCTTGGTGCATCTTGGTGCATTTGACATTGAGATATGTTCTACACAAATGCAAGAATTTGTATAAAAATACAAAGGGAAATCAAATTCAGAGCCGTACAATTGGGTGCATCTCTGCAGCATTGCGGCTGCATGGCGTGGATCCGCGACCGACTGCGCACACTTTTAGCATTGTAAAACAAACGCCGTCTCTCGTTGATCTGATAAAAGCGCAGTAGAATCGCCGTAATGATGCCTTAGCGACCTATACCTTAACAGAAACGATGCAAAAGTGAACAGGGGGTACAGTGTGAAAGCTGACTTGTGTGGAGATTGTATGGCGTTCTCTGAGATATCACTACGTTACTGGTTGGACGGTCAATGTGTTACTGTTGTAGAAAAAAACAACAGATGAACTGTGCGAAAACGAAGGGATCGAAGTTGAAACTTTTTTACGTTTTAAAGGTCTGTTACAAACTTAAAAGATGCACACGGATAGGTTTGACCGAGAATGTTGCTCAAGAGCTATGAGCGTACTAACTATTCTGCAGTTAGACGAACCGCCACGGTTCAAACGTATTTCAAACGCATTCGCAGTCGTTATTCCGTCAAATTATAATAAATTAACATAAGAATAATATTAAGTAAGTTTAATCACTAAATACGCCAAAATCTTCATTTTAACAGCAAAGGCAAATTTATATTAACCGATTGCATGACATTTAATCACCGCGCGTGTCAACAGGAAAGCAATGGTGGTAAAATCGGATGGGAACAATGTTGAAACGGATGAATCTATGATAGGCTAAAAACGGTCAATATTTTGTATATGTTACGTCGGAGAAACAGAGATAAAACGATGGTTGACAGATACAGTGGTAGAACTAATGTTAAGATAATCCCGTTCTGGCCAGTCAATTTCGCTTCCTTTGAAAAAGACATGAGCACTGTCAAAACTTTAGTTGATGAAGATGCAAGATATACCGTGGAGGAGATGAGTAACATATCTGGCCCTTGAGCGTCATTTGTGGTTTCCACTTTGAAAGAAAAGTTAGTTAAGGAAAGTGTGTGCCCGTTTGATCCCACAATTGCTAGCTTCTGACCAGAAAAGGAAGCTGGTTGAAAAAAAAACCGTCCTTATTGACTAGGTTCAAAGATCGAGACCCGAGACACCTGAGAGAAATTGTCACAGGGGATGAAACGTGACGTTTTATGAGCCCGACAATAAACTCAGTTTCAAAATGTGGGTAGGTGAAAACAGTGATCGCCCATTTGTTGCCTGAGCAATAGCATTAAAAGAGTTATATAAACTCTTTTTTTGACAGATGGAATAGTGACCCGTGTCGCTGAGCCTGAGAGAGGATGTGTAAATGAAATATTTGCTATGACCATGTTCTTACTGCAGTAGTTAATCACTACATTACAAAGAATCCAAGGTCCGTGGTGCGCAGGATCAAATTACTCCATGATAATGCACCTGCGCACCGGTGAGTCTTGGTTCAAGCTTATTTAGAGGAGCTGAGAATTGAGGTTTTGCTACATTCTGCTTATAATCCAGACCTCTCTCCTTGTGACTTTTGGTCAAATCCATGCAACAAATCTTGCCTTCGCTGTCACTGGTTCGAAGCCCGTAGTGCCGTCGGACGCGCTCGCTACCAGTGTAACAAGAGCCCGGTTTGAGCCGGGTGATGCTCCCCGAATAGGTTTTGGACACAGGAAAGTACACCTCTTGTAGTTTCAGAGTTATGTCCGTGGAAAAAGTTCAAAGTGCAATAATTCCAGAATAAGGCAAGGAAGAGTAACTGTTTTTAGCACTGCACTTGTAATCAATGTGATATATCAACCTACAAAGTTTCTTGTTGATATCTCTTATGGTTTCTGAGTTATGTCCAGGACAACTTCAAAAAGTAAAAATAAACAAAGGGCAATAACTCCAGAATCAGGCAATGCAGAGTTATGATTCTTGTGCACGCACATCTACCCAATGAGATATATCTACCTACAAAGTTTCATGTTGATATCTCTTATAGTTTTACAGCTATCTCCTGGACAAGATTTTTATAAAAGCGGAAATAATTCAAAAATTAGGCTTAACAGAGTTATGGTTCTTTTGCACTGCACTTCTACTCAATGAGATCTATCTTTCTACAATGTTTCATCTTGATATCTCTTATAGTTTTAGCTTTATGTTCCGGACAAAGTTCAAAGTGTTAAATTTAACAAAGGGCAATAACTCCAAAATTAGGACAAAAGGATTTATTGTTCTTATGCACTGCACATCTACCCATTGAGATCTATTCACCTACAAAGTTTCAAGTTGATATCTCTTATAGTTTTAGAGTTATGTCCCGGACAAGATTTTTCTATCAGGGGAGATAATTCAAAAACCGGGCAAAATAGAGTTATGGTTCTTTGACACTGCACTCCCCCTCAATACCCTCTACCACTGTATGAAGTTTAAACAAATTATCTCCAAGGGTTTTCAAGTTATGCTCCGGACAAGACAACGGACGGACGGACGGACAAGGCGCCGACTATATGCTCCCCCGAAATTTTTCGGGGAGCATAAAACAGTATACCCAAAGAAAAGTTTAAAAATGCTTTTTCGGAATGAAAAAGTGTGTAGATGTCCATCGTGAATATTTTGAAGGACTCTACTAATCATTTTTCACAGGTCTGACTTTTTTATATAAACGCGCTTCGTTTACATCTTATGTCGGCCTTTCTCTTACAAGCATGTTTGCCTGTGGTTTTATCGGTATTACATAATTATGTATTATTATTTTGCCAGAACTTATTATTTTACCACAACTTATAATAACAACACTTGTTTAACATGTTTTTAGTTATAACGACATTTCATTATTTTGCCACAATAACATTACAGTTTCACAAATTTAATTGGTGCAATCATCACTGTAGGTCACGTATGCATAAATAATTAACCCTGAGTGTGTGTCTTTTCTGGAGAATGTTACAAGCGTGCAAACTATCATGCTCTAAGTGAAAATGCTACCGTTGTAGGCAGAAATGTTCCTTGAAAGTACCTATGATGACTGAACATGGTCTGAAAGTGGCTAACATTCTGACAGAAAATCAAGCTCACTCTTTTATTATCTTTTATTCGTATTGTACCTTTGTCACCAATTGAGCCTTCAGACTATCATTCGTAATATTTTTCTCATGATATTAAAGATGTTAATGCGAAATGGGCATGAAAAGGCTTTCTTACAGACTTTCCTATATATATGTGTGATTTATGAAATACTGGTGGGGACATTTTAGCTTCATTAATTTCCGATTTCGTCTTCGTTAATTCACAATTTTAACTTCGTGAATAAACGATTTCAATTTCGCGAATTCACGATTTCAACTTCATGAATTCAACGTCATGAACTCATGTAACGAACTTCACGATTTCAACTTCACGAATTCACGATTTCATCTCAACGAATTCATGATTTCAACTTTTTTTCCATATTTTTCACGATTTGAACTTCGTCAAGACTGATAGACAGTTCCATTAAAAGGGGCATTTTAAAAATGCATAGGTTTAGATAAGACTTGCAAATATGTACAGTTTTACCAGTCTTAGAATTGTCGGTTGCATAACCTTTTCTATTACAAGTACGACAAGTCGGATATAGAAATCAAATGCCCCAAGGTTGATATTTGCAAACAAAGAGTGAATTAAATCTTCCATATTCAATACATATAAAACGTTTTTGAAACGTTCATGTTTTGCAAAAATAAAATAATTCTATTACGAGGGTGCATCAATAAATTCGTAAACTAATTCAAAATCGTCAAAACTATTAGTTCGATTAAAATAAAACCATAACTGCTGTGAAAACAGATTATTTCAAATTGAATCGTTCCATGTACACAACTTTGACGTCATCACTTATGACGTCATAAACCGTAAATGACGTCACGTTACGGACGTCCATTCGAAAATGGCGTCACACAGCGTCAACGAACAGCGCATCGTTATAAAGTTTTACACAAAACTCGGAAAGTCTTTTCCAATGTTCGTGAAGATTTGCAAAAGTTTACAGAGAGGCTGCTCTGTCAAAAGGTGCCATTTCAAAGTGGATGAATCGGTTTAAAGACGGTATAGAGGCAACTGAAGACGACAGATTGACCAGTGACTGTAACAGATGAAGAAACAGTCGCTGTCATTCAGGAGTACATACTCCGAGATAGACGAGTAAGTGTGGAGCACGTAGCAGATAAGTTCGCTATTTCATATGGTACAGCTCAGGACATTATGATTTATTAGGAATGCGCCGCGTTTCAGCAAGATGGGTGCCTCGTTTGTTGATGTCGGGGCAGATGGGGGTAAGGGTGAAAATGTTTCAGCAGTACGACAGGAGGTATCGTGAAGAAGGCGATGACTTTCTAAATCGAGTGATAACATGTGATGAAACGAGAACTCACTTTTTTGAACCGGAAAGCAAACGTCAGAGTTCTGTCTGGAAGCATCCTTCCTCGCCTTCCCCTACAAAAGCGATAATTTCCAAGTCAACCGGAAAGGTTATGGCCATTATATTCTGTGATACATACGGTGTAGTGCTTATTAACCACTTTGTTCCTCCGAAAACGACACTCACTTGGACCTATTATGCAACATTACTTAGAACGGAACTCATGGCAGCAATAAGGAGAAAGCGTCCACATCTACTTAGGTCCGAATTCATATCACATCAAAACACCGCGCCGAGCCATTCAAGCCACGTTGTCATGGATATACTAGAAAAACTCGACGTCGAACTATGACCGCACTCACCCTACAGCCCGGACCTAGCAATTTGTGACTTCTGGCTGTTTCCAACTTTAAAAAACAGTCTTCGTGGTACGATATTTGAGTCAAGTGAGGAACTGAGGTGTGCCGTGGACAGACAGCTGCGGGATATGGGACAAGTGCAAATAATGCATGGGACGTAACTTTGAGAATGAGTCATCATTTCAGGTACTTGAATTAAATCATTTCCCCGCTATTG